CTTACAGCGCTGTTACAGGTATAAATCGTAATATTTTTAAGTAATCTTTACTTTTACTATTATTTTTAAGTAACTTAAAGTAAAAGCTTTAGAATTATTATAGTAATTCTTAATTAAGAAAACTAAGTAAGTTTAATAGTATTATATTAACTAAAGCTTAAAAAAAGAAAGAATCTTTTTAAGGGATTTTCCCTTTAAGAATCTGTAGTAATATACCTTTAGGCTATTATTATTATTAATATTAGATCCTCCTTACTAGCTAGTCTTATCCCCTTATAGGGCTGCTATAATATTAATAAGCTAAAGTTATTCAAGATTTTACTTAATAAAGCTAAAAAGATTTAGATTTACCCCTTTAAGATATTTTTCTATAAGCTAATTATTTTATATCTTTTTCTTCTTTTTAGCTTTTTTAATATACTTATCTTTATATTTTTAAAGTCGTTTTTAAAGGTATATATTAAATAAGACTTTAGAATCCTTGCTCAGGCATGGGCTTTTATCCCTATTAACTTAGCCTACTTTATTGTATACCTTATATACCTACCTTATTTTGCACGCGACAATCACATTCGCAAGAACAAGGGCGACGACTTGTTCTTACCGGAATGTCGCTTAAAGGTGCTGCTTTGGCTTGCTCCTTTAGAGCCAATCGGTCTGATCGGACTTGCCTGGTGTTCACTTGGCCCAAGTTACAACGTTCACTGGATCGCTCCCATGATCTTCTCTACTCTCGTTGGCTGAAAGGAATTAGCCTAATACCTATAGCTATTCTCTATATACCAAGTCCTGAACCCATTGTGGTCGCTTATCTTGCTCCTTGGCAATACGCTTAGCATTGAGCAAGTGTGTATGCCCTATAGGCTCAGCTCCTGTATCGAGACGTTTGAATCGCTCCCTTACATCGCTTGTGATGGGTTGAATATTTCCATGTTTCAAATCTGTCTTGTTGAACTGGGCGATATCGATCGCCGGCAGCTTCTCACCCGACGGGTCTCTTGGCTTCACTCGGATATCTAGGGCCATGGCATGATCTATCATTGCCTCGGAGGCAACCGTAGACGGATGAGTGTCCTTGTACTCCCCCCAAAGAGCTGGTGCGACCTTTTTCATGACCACGTTCTGAATCTGTAACTCTACGTCCGGTAGAGTTGTGACTTTATGCTTCAGGTAGATTTTGAGGTGCGACTCTGCAATGGCTCCTTGCTGCATTGGCCGTGCATATAGTGAAGAAGAACCTCCGATCACAATATGATCAAGTACACCCACCGTGACTGAGAGGACCGGGACTCGAGCTTGGACCTCAAACTCAACGTGTGTTGCACGGATCTCGACTGCTTGCTGACTGCCTTTGTCGTTATTGCTTGGCATTGCGCTCTTATGTATAGGTACGGCACCTTTGGTAACTCTCATCATGTGATTCAGGGCTTTCATCTCATCGGAAGTAGAGGATTCAATTGGTAGGTTCTTGACCATGCACAAGAACTGGCCCCAAGAAAGAGGAGATGGCCTGGACAACTGAGGACCAAAGGTGACGATAGTGTTGTAAGTCCAGAAATGCAGATGCACAAATCCAGCCATCGGTGGACCATGAAGGCTAAGACGAGCGGAAAACTCTTTAGGGCCGAGATGTATCCTGCAAAGGAGTGCAGGGAGATTGACCTCGATCCAAAGCGTGATTCCAACTTCAAGGGCAAAGCTAAAAGGGTGATAATGAATAAAGAAATCTGCCCAGGCGGAGAAGACAGCATGAACCCATCCCTTGTCGACTACAAGGTCCATCCTACCACCACCCATTGCTACTTGAGGTGTAATGGCAAAGTATGCCGAGCCTGTGATATAGATCTGCGAGTCGTAGCGCCACATGATTCCGACACGACAAGGGGCTGCTGGGTAGTGTGAAGGTACAGAGAATTGGTTGCTGTAGCCACCAACAGTGAATGCAAAATCTCCTGAGTGGGGAGACCCTTCAAGAAAGATCTTAAGCGCGAACCCTCCCGTGAGGCGACATGAAGGGTTGAGGATGAATGACTTTGGGGTCAGCTCGCCGGCCACTAAAATTGTTCCATGTAGAGGATCGATCTCAGAAGCGATATCGATATCTAGAACAAGGAAAGCTCGTTCTTGACTCTTTCCCTTAGGAAAGACTGCAGTGGCTTGAGCCAGGATCGCAAATTTCGGCTCGTCGGCCAGTGTGAGAGCGATGAGAACTTGGGCATCTACCGTCTGGAAAGCTTTGAACCCAACACCACCAGCGAGCCACATTTTGTTCGGAGCTATGGTTACCCAAGCATCTTTGCCCCCGCTCCTCAAGGTCGATAAATGTTCTGTTAGTGACCCTGGAGGTGACGAGATACTACTATTCATGGCTATGAATGGGAACCGAGCTACTTGAGATACTGATGGCAGTCTGAGTTTTGAGTTATAACCGAAGCCGCCTGTGAGACTGTTGACTTCCACGCTGCCAACTGTGAAGATAGTGCCGCGTAATGCTCCAAAAACGAACATGGACTTGAGCTTTTCCGGTTTGGTCTCGGTATACATTCCCGCCGCTATGGCTGACCATTTGTCAATTGAGACGGCTATGGCACCCATAAATCCATTTTCTGAGTCTTCTGTGCTGCCAAAGGGGGTGAATAAGCCCGCCAGCCGAAGTTGAGACTTTTCGAAAGAAACACCAATGCCAGTAATGCCGGGCCTGAATTTCAAGTCTTTGAAGCCTTCCAAGGTCCTGATACCCTCCAGATTGATGGCGAGAGTGAGACCGAGCATCTTCAGTGTGACATCTCCAAGGTTGGCGGTTGCGTCGAGAGATACAAGTATATTACTGAAGGAATTCCCAGATACAGAGACCCCCATGCTACTAATAGATAGAGGACCCATAGTCTTGGACATGGGCGCAATGGTCTTACCAGAATGTTGGGGTTCTCCTGTGATGAGCTTGCGTTGGTCTTGAAGACGAGATGTCTCATTGCTGGCCAATATCCTTTTGGGCTCTCTCCTGGCAGAAACGTGGTCAAGGATGAGCCTTGGTTTATCACCTAAAAGGAAGATCTGGAAGTGCAGGCCACGGGCCAAAGTTCCATTCTTATCTCTACTTTGCAGCGACACAGGCATGGGGACATTCTTATTGAAGAAGTCGACTTCGGATTTGCTTAGTGCGCGATTCGCCCAGACAATACCCAATTGGTCGAAAGGCTGCTTGACGGCTCCAACGATGGGCATTTCCGGAAGTTGTCCAATAGAAGGTACTGTGAACCTAATGATCTTAGCTGGCCCAGTATCATCTGAAGTACCAGACACTAGTTGGTTGTTCTCCCTCGCTAGAGCACTCAATTTGGCGGCTTTGATTGACCTGAGCTGTGCGAGCGAGAGGACGAAGTCACCGATGGTGATGCTGAGAGAAAAGAGCACGTAAGCCCCTTGATCGCTGAGTGTTGTCTTGCCACATCTGAGTTCGGCCTTCAACTTGTCCATGGGCACTTGCATATTTCTCAAGAAACCAGGCAACTCTGTCTCATCGACCAATCCGCTGAGTAAAGTGCTAATTTTGACAGTATCCTTGCTAGAAGAAGGGCGTAAACTGGCAGTAAAAGTCCAATTCCTTTCTTGAGCCTTATGACTGAAGTTGAAATCGAGTTTCACAACATGCTTGGACTTCTCTGGGCCAAGGTGCAGACTTCCATTGATATCAAGTGCAGTTTTGCCACTGTATAGATGCTTAATGCTGGCATGGGCGATGTTGATACCTCCCATAACATCAAGGATTGCGTGATTGGACCCGTCTCTAGCGAACAAATCACACAGATGTGCTACTCTCAGGTTCTCGATGCTCGCGGACGCCAGCCACTCATATCCCTGGCTTCTTCTTTGATACAAGATGATAAAGTCTACAAGAGACTGGGTTGGCTCTGAAGCTTCAGGAAATTTATACCCGGGCGGCACAGAGAGTTTCAAATAGGCATCGAGCCGTATATCAACCTCGTTCGAACCGCGATTTGAGAATCCTACACTCAAGTCCAAGTTCACTCTCTGTAGACTCAGTAGAGGGACGGAAGATTCATTCTCTGGACCAGATTGCTGCTCGGGTGACTCGCATTCCAAAACGGTAGAGAACGAGGCAACTGTTTGGCCATGGCTGAACCCAATCATCATCTCAACATGTGTCACCTTATCCGGTAAGCCAGGAGGTATTTGAACGCCCGCTGGAAGATGAAGAAGGCTAACGAGTTTGATCTCATAAACTGGATCAGCAATGCTTGGCCCCATCAATGCTGTCTCCTCGTAGAAAGGGTGCAGTCTGGCTGTGGAAGGATTACCCCAGAGTGAGATTGGCCAGGTTTCTGCTTCAAGGTCAAAAGCTCCATTCTTCCAGCGCACTGTTGCGAAAAAAGGAACTGTGTCCTCTGAGAAGCGTGCGTCAATTTCAAGATTAGTTTCAAACCGAACAGGGTTCATGGTCTTGTCGAAGACTACTGAGACTCTGTGGACCACGATGTTGGTCCCATCCAGAGTTTGGGACAAGCGCTCTCTTATAGAGGGCGTAGATGACTCGCTTGGCCTCAGAGCTTGGCCAGTCTTACCACCCATGAATGTCTTTGCCCAGGCCAACAGTGAGTCCAATACGTCACCGCTATTCGTGAGTTTAAAGCTGATATCGAATCCGTCGGCTGAGAAGTCGATGGATGCCTTGCCCTCGAACGTCGGCACACCACTCTCTGGCCTTGTCCAGGAAACATCGAATTGCAAACCAAGTGTGGCCTTTGTCTCGCTGTGAATAGGGCCTCGTGTCTCTACAGCGCATGATCCAATGGCTGTGACAGCGGAGATTGTAATAGGTCCAAGCTTTTCACCAAGTAGCTTCGTGAGTTCGTCAAGCTCACTCTGACTCTTGGGTTTCATGGCCAGACGCATAATGGTCCTGGAGTTGAACTGTGGCATAAACCAAATACCTGAGCGAGATCCCTCATACGTCGAAAGCTGCAAGATATTGAATAGCTTGGATATCAGCTCATTGCCAGAAAGTGGAAAGCTGACTATCATCGCCAACTGGGCCATCGTGAGAACGTGAGAGCCATTGATCGCAAAAAGGAGACCTTGAAAGTTATTGTCAAACCCGAGTAGAGACTGATTTGAAACATTTTCGGCTCCGAATTGCTTGGCCCGTGAATCTTGTGATGTTGACAAGGTTATGGTTGCAGAGTCATCTGGATTGGGTCTAAGAAGAATGTCTGCTTGTGACAGCGATAGTTTCCCCTGTGTCTTGTTCCCTACCAGTCGAAGGAATGCGGCGCATGTGAAGCAGTCGCTAAACCACTTAGCACAGACTGACTCAGTTTCTGTAAGAACCTCATTCACTTCATGGCCGATGTCAACTTTCTCGGTCAACCCCTGAGTGAGCACAGAGCTAATCCACTCCTCTACCGATGAAAATCCTGGTGGAGGTGTTATCTTGTTCTCGTCTCCAACAATTTTGGGCTTCATTTTTGTCGGAGGGTTCTTTTCGGGGTTATATAAAGTCCTCAGAGCGTTTACGGCTTTTGTAAGCCTTGGGTCAGTGGTCCTCGCCTGCTGGTCAAGTTCCCAGGCCCACGCTAGATCGTTTGCGCCCTTGAAGATTTGAGCACCCTTTTTAATTATAGCGAGGACTGTGTCACTTATACGCTGTTGCTCTCTTTCGATAACGGGGCTGTCTCCTCTGGCCACAAGTTTGATCCATTGGAAACCTCTGGTGTTGTCGGATCCTGGCTCTAAGAAACCTACCATGGTTGGTGCCATTAGATTTCGGATCTCTCTAATGGTATTAGTCAGAAACGCCCTTTTCCCCGCTACTAGCGAGGGCCAAGGGGTTGATTTCATGGGATGGTTTCTATTTGCTTCATCGTTGATTGTGTCGAGAAAGTCTTTTTTTGTAACATCCTCAGCTCGACCGAGGTAAGCATAACCCAAGGCGGATTGGAATACAGCCTCGTAGTTGTTCTTTAGGTAATCTCGGAGAAAGTGGTTGTCATTCGGCTGGCTGAGCTGTTGAAATATTTTGAGAATATCTAAGGCGGTGTCTCCCCAGCCGAAAACTGTCAAAGGATCGAAGTCGTCTGAACCCAACTCGCTTGGGGTCCACGTCAACCAATACGGGTGCCGTGTGCAAATCATTTTAGCATGATCTTGTTGTGGATTTCGCTGGTGCATAAGTTGGGCTAATGCGAGAAAGCAGTATACCACAGCGAAGCCTTGGCCGTTAGAATCTCTTGTGATGTAGTCATCGAATGCACATGTACTTACTTGGATGCCCATGTTGCTTGCCTGCCGAAACAACAAAATATTGCAGGTTTTGAAGGAAAAGATCCTCAACAGTTGAACCGTGAGACCCATGATGGCTAGCCTTGATGGTATCAAGTCTTACCCCACATATACTCTGGAAATTCATCCACTTTATGAGCCTCTTTTCTGGCGGATTCTGTCTGACATCTCCACAGGTATACAAGGAGACACGGAATGAATCCGTGAGATTTGGTCGAGGCCAAATTACCAGTGCCATGATTGAGGCGTCATTCTTCGTTGTACTGTCAGTCACGTCCTTCCAATCTTCGTCCGGCACCACCCAGTTGGCGGGCTCGTCTCTGACTTTGAATGTGAAGTTGTCAACGCCAAAAATAAGAAAGATTGGTTTTGTTTGGTTGAAAAGACTCGGGGCGTCAGTGAAGACTTGTTGCATTGAGTCTCCAAGAGGAGCCGGTTGCGTCACGGTTCTGATATCATGGTTGACGTTTGCATGATGGGACCCAGTGAACAGGTCGAACCCCAGAGCGTAGGTGCTCACCACGGCCCAGCAGATGTCGGTCCAATCACCTCCAGCACGCTTGAATTGTAGCTTATACGTGTTAAGGTTCTGGTCCAGGACGACCTGCATGGTTTCATCTTTATTCAAAGCACTGACCCCGGTCCAAGGACAGTAGAAGGTTGTGTTATTGTCCCAGTACCTTGTTGCTAAATTGGGCGCCGCGGGGTTGATCTGTTCAGCCTCCCACCTTTGGTAAAGAAGGTTCATGAGGCCTTTCCAGTGATCTACATCCCAGTGGGTGACTAAAATGGCTTTGAATGCGAACTGATAGTTCACTGCAACACGGACGTGTTCGATGACTGTTGAGACAGGCACTTCACATGATGACCTTCCGCCATCGATCAACACTGCCGCCTCAACTCCTTGATTATTCCTTTGCCGCAGTAGGTGAATGGCTGAGTCACCTGCACCGACGTTTATAAAATAGGACTCAGTAAAATAATTATAATAATCCATTGTCGGAGCGTTAGTCTGGCTGGTGATTTGAATGTAAGCTCAGGGTCATGGAGGAATGAGAGATCGGATGGCAGATCTGACAGACTAAATGACGGTCAAAAATTGCCTGAGCACCTTTATCTACTACTATTATCCTATAGACGAATATGTAGCAGGGCGGAACAGACGAGAGCGGAATAGACGCGAGCGGTTATTCATTCCTAAATGGAATGTCTTGCATGTTACAGGTCAAACTATTGGACCCACTTAGCTGCCAAGAAGGCCTAGAACAAGATAGCCACACACTGTATAAAATTAAGTAGAAAAATTCACAAGGGTTCAGGGGTCTGTTTTAGTAAGAGTATAACCCTGCCCTATCTTAAAAACTATATCTAGTAATAAATTATTATTGGTCTTTTATAAACTATTATAAAGTTAAAAAAATATAAAGCTTTATTTATTTATAATAAAAAGTTTATAATTATAGTTTTATATAATAAGCTCTTTATATATATATATAATTATAAAGTAAAGTTATAGCTTATATTAGCTTTTATTTTTTTTTTTTTTTTTTTTAAATATATTTAAGTTATTTATTAATATTTTAAAG